GGCGGAGCCTGCTGCTCCCCACCCACCTCCAAGGCGGGGTCTACATTGCCCCTCTTGAGGCGACTTGGCCAACAGCAGGCGTGCAGTGACGACATCTCCACCCCCGGCTCTTAAGCCTATTTGCGTCATACTGGCGTAAGAGCCCCCTCCTAACCCCGGACCTACTCAACCCATGCCTCCTCCACCATATAGTAGGCTCTTCACTAGAATTCCCACTGGGTCCACCCACTCCCGACCTGTATTTTTCAGGTCCACCGCCTCGCTCTTCCTGGCTCAGGGTTGGTGAAAAGGACTCAAGTTCTGTGGGGAACAGGAAAGATCCGTGGGCCAGCGAGTATACACCCCGAGAGAAGAAGCGTAAGAAACGAGAATAGGAACTCGGAATGCGTCTCCATTACAGCTACTGGCGTCATCCAGAAGATCAGGGATGGTTGGGCATGTGTGCTGGTATAGCCTTGAGCTAGTTGCTTTGTCTTGTTTGGAAAAGCACAGGTGGTGGTGAGAATTTATGCATTAACTCACCTCTGGACAAGACCTGAACCGGCACGTCACAAACACTCCTATGCATTACCTTCTTTTCCTCTTGTAGCCTTTGAATTTTTCGTTCTTTAGTATTTGTTTTCTTTTAGTTGATATATAGCAATGGTATGCATAGTACAGCGTGACGTTGCAGTAACATGTGCATGCATGTATGCAACGTGTAATGATCAGATCCACATGTCTGCCTTAACTGATACCTCAGACATTTACAATTTGTTTGTGTTGGGAACACCGAGAATCTTCTCTATCAGCTGATTTGAAATAGTCAATTCATTGTTGCCACTTATTATCCTATCAGCAGTTATGCAGCTTCCCCAGCTGCACCCCTGTAAAGTACTGACATTTGTTACTGGCTTTGACTGTTCTCTCCGTCTCAACAATCTCATGCATGGTTTCTAACATAAGGTACACATCACATCGGACCACTTCTCTCCACCCTGACTGCTCTGCTTGAGTGGTTTCCTCAGGCTTATCACGGTAATGTCTCCCATGGCTTTTTGATACCACTCTTATTTATCTAGTAAGCTATAGAACGAGATTCTTAAAATTCCAATCTGATTACATTGCTCTCTTGCCTTCTAGTTGTTGTTTTTGTTTATTTGTTTTGTTATTTAAGGCAATATGGTGAGATGGCTCAGTCAGCAAAGGCATTCACTATTTAAACCTGATGACCTGAGCTTGATCCTTCAAATCCATATAAGGAGAAAACTGACTCTATGACATTCTCTTCTGACCTCTACATGAGTGTTTCCCTCATCACACACACACACACACACACACACACACACACACACACACACACACGAAGTTTTCTTATATATAAAATGAATTAAAAAGACAAAATGGTTTAGTGAAAAAAACACTTATCTAGACTTCACAGTTATTGACATTTGAGGTGTGTTTGCTCCTGTTTAATATTTAAACAGAAATGATAGACATTATGAAATTTTCTCCTATAAATATTTCAGCATGCATCTCTAGGAAATAAGGACACTTTCCTACAATAATGCCATTTAGAGCTCAATTCATATTCAAATATCTCAAATTGTTTCCAACTTGTCTTTTCAGCTGTTTTGTTCAGATAGGAGTCAATCAAGGATCACTATTGCATTTAATTATATTCTTTATTTTTTTTCATGACAGGGTTTATCTGTGCAACCCTGGCTGTTCTAGAACTTACTCTATAGACCAGTCTGGCCTCAAACTCAGAGATCAAACCTGTCTCTGCCTCCTGAATGCTGAGATTAAAGGCGTGCATCACCACCACCACCTGGCCGAATATAATCATGTTCTGAATTCTTTTTAACTTACCACTAACATCTAATCACCCCTCCTCCATTTTTCACATTGTCATGTAAAAGCAAAAGCAGAACACTTTTCTCTTTGAACTCCTCATCTTGGATTTGTGTTTTTTGTGTTTTTTGTGTTATATATATATATATATATATATATATATATATATATATATATATCACATACATTCTCTCTATTTCCTTCTGTAAAGTAGAAATTGTACCGGAAGTGTTAGTTGGATTGTATTTTTTTCCAATATAAACAGAATACCTTCAATTGCCTCATTTCCTGGGCTGCATAATGTCTGGCTATGCTACTGAGCAAGGGTATTAAAACTGATAACTGGTCTAAAGTAGAGCCAGCCACATCTTTCCTGATATGATGAGCATGGACATGAAAGCCATGGGACATGTTGGCACCATGGGAACATTTACTTTGCCATCAACCGTCAACTTTTTCATCTAGTTTCATGTTCTTCCTACTCCTCCTCTTTGTGTATGCTTGGAATGAAACTCAGGACCTCTGACATGTTAGACAAGTTCTATACCATTTAGCTATGTCTCTAGTCCCCAGGGGTGATTGATGACTAAAATATTTCATTCCAGTTTGCAAAATGTATTTTCTTAAATAATTTTCTCATTCTTTTGACATTTATCAGCTTTCAGTCATTACCCTGAAATAAAATGCCAACTGGAAGCAGAATATTTCTCTCTCTCTCTCTCTCTCTCTCTCTCTCTCTCTCTCTCTCTGTGTGTGTGTGTGTGTGTGTGTGTGTGTGTGTCTGTCTCTCTCTCTCTTGTCTCTCTCTCTCATTTGTTTTTGTTTTTTGAGACAGGGTTTATCTTTGTAGACCAGGCTGGCCTCAAACTCACAGATATCCGACTGCCTCTGCCTCCCGAGTGCTGGAATTAAAGGTGTTCGACACTCATCTATTTGGCCTTTGATCTTACCGACTTTCAGACTAAGGAGTAATTGTAACAGTTATCTTAGTAATGGTTTATGAGTTTTATTATAGTATCTTTGTGATTTTTTAATATTGCTATTTATATGTTCACAATAGTCACAATAGTCACTTTTTGAAATTCAGATTATCCCCAAACAAACCAGGGACAGGTCCTTGAATTGGTTTCCAATTCGATTTTGAAACATCCCATAAATCACTAATTCTCTCTTGTTTTTTGTCACTCCAAGATGTATCAGATTTTCCTTTTTCTATTCTCTCTGCTGATATGGAAGCAGCCATTCATCTAAAGAGATGAGGTAACTTTTATTAAAGGCTGACTTTAGAGGCTAGAATCTGGATGTTAGGGGTGATAATGGCTACCGAGGGGGCATTGACTCTAGACCTTTTCTATGAACAGAGCCAGGATATTAAAAAACAACACACACACACACACACACACACACACACACACACTGACTAGTATTTACAGATTCATTTATTTATGTATTTTATGTATACGAGTGTTCCATTTGCATGAATGCCTGAATGACTGAAGAGGACATCAAATTCCATTAGAGTTGGCTGTGAGCCACTCTGTGGGTTCTGGGGATTCAATTCAGGACCTCTGGAAGAGCAGCCAGGCCTCTTAACCACTGAGCCATCTCTCCAGCCCTCCAACTGGTATTTAATAATGATTTCTACTGAGCTCTCTATGCTTGCAGTTCTTTATTTTTATGTTGAAAACTTGGGTTCCTGGTGTCACTAATGTAACCACTTGTATGATTAATCTAACACAACCTAACAATATACATAGAATTATACAAATATTACCCTGCTAATAAAACAGTGAAGGCTGGGGAGATGGCTCAGGGGTTAAGAGCGCTAGCTGCACTTGGAGTGGGCTAGGGTTCTCACAACCATCTGTACCGTACCTCCAGTTCCAGAGGGTCCGAAGTCCTCTTCTAACTTCTGCAGGCAACAGGCAAAATGCTCATACACATAAAATAATAAAACAATAAATACATGTTTTTGAGATAGGATCTTGCCGTGGCTGGCATAGAACTCTATGTGGACAAGGCTGGCCTCAAACTCATAGAGATCTGCCTGCCTCTGTCTCCCTAGTGCTGGATTAAAAGCATGCACCATCATACGCACATGACCTACATTTGCCTTTAAATATAACTTCTAATCATACGTAATTGGAATGCTGTGTCCTAAGATTATTTCAAACAGCTCTTCTGTTTGTGTAATTATGGTTGGCAATTTGACATATAATTAGGGGTTTTTTTGTTTGTTTCGGCTTATTTTAGTTTTAGAGTGGTGCCCTGTATTCTTTATGTAATTTTATTTTGAGCCTTTTGTAAAACTATGTAATATAATGAGATACACTTGCAGAACTCTTCTGTTGGCTTCTATAATGCCCCGCCACCTTTCATCTTATCCCATTTGTTTCCCCTTCTAAAGTTTATAAACTGTTGAATATCACAGATAAACAAAACAAAACAAAAGGAAATAACTCAAGTTTTCACGACCATCCAGGCAACCCAGCGGCCGACGGAAAGACCGTCCAGCACCCCAGAAGACTCACTAAGCATCAAGCATTATCTTTTCTCAAAGCTAACTACTATCACTCTCTCACTGACCCTCTCACTGTTTCTTTGCTTTCCCTTGGCAGCACTAACTGTTGGTGGTGGTGGTGGGGGGTCATCTTGGGTTATCAGGAATTGAATGACTGTGTTTGCCCTGTATATGTTTGCTATTGCACTGGTGTCAGAGGACGCGGTGGTCTAACACCCTCACAGGGAAGTGGGGAGCTGGGGAAGTGAGTACCCTAGCCTCTCCTCGTCACTCCTCTTTAATCTCCTTTTGGGTTTTCCCATCCTGCTAAGCTAATGAGCACCCAGAGGAAGAGGTATTCATTCACGACACTCCCCTGGGACAGAAAAGCAGGCAAAGATGAATGAAGTGAAGACTGCAGTAGCAGAGAATATAAAGTACCCACTTATTTACCCATTGTTTGGCTTTATTTATTCCCTCCCCTCTTTTGTAGAAATCCTTGGTCGGTATAAGCTGTTTACTTTCTCCTCCTCATTATTATTATTACTATTATTACAATTTTCAAACGTTAGCATCTGTTAATATCTTTTCTCTGTATCTGTCTTCAAATTTCCCCTTTTGGAAGGATAGCAGCCACTTTGGACTAAAGTTCATTTTGATGACCTCATTTTAACTCAACAGCTTTGTTTACAAATAAGGTCCTGTCTGGAGGTTCTCGAGATTAGGATTTGAAGATGAGTTTGGAGGAGACAGAATTCAAACCATAGCAGTTGCCAGGTCCATGAACTGGTGTTTA